GACCCTCACTGCTTGTGTATGGAGAGATTTGGCTAACTCACAATCCCCAGTGTGCAGTTCTTCAGAAAATGACAAAAATAACATTCTATTTCACTTTGTATTATGAATGCTGAGGTGGAGAGTATTATTTGGAATCTCAGATGACATTTCTAAAATATCAGTGTGAACGGCATTGTTGGGGTAATTTAGCACTTGCCAACATAGGAAACAGAATGATCCTTGCTATCAGGAAAATATAAGTTGCTGCGTGGTATGCAAAATTTTACCAGCCCCAATGAGAGACATAATTCCGTGTTTCCAGGTGAGGTATTTATGGAAGAATTTTTTTTAAAAAACATTTTTATTTAAATTCAGTTAATTAACATATATTATTGGTTTCAGAGGTAGAGGTCAGTGATTCCTCAGTCTTATATAATACCCAGTGCTCATCCCCAATTACCCATCCCCTCACTCCCCTGCCTTCCAGCATAGAAGACTTTTAAGACTGAAGACAGATATTGCAGAATACTGTATATGTGGATCATTGAAAGCACTGAAGGGGATTTAAGTTGAGAGTTGTAATAGGGCTCTTGTTTAGCTCTTAGTTCTGCCAATATGGTCATCGATGTGCTATCCTCTCATGCTACACAGCAATGGAAAATGAAAGGCTGGGACAGAATGGCAAATTATTACTGATATTTATTTTGTACTGTTTGAGGTACTTTGATTATGCATATGCCTTATACCAAATTAATCATTGGGAGGATATGTGAGGTAGAGCTAAGAAATTCTGCTTTTATACTTAATCTAAGAGATAATAAATGTGATGCCCAGATGTATCTCTTGAGTATCAAATGTAGAAGATAGTGTTCCTCTACCATCCAAGTACACGAAACTATTGTAAAAATATTGAATGAGCCATCAAAGGTATATGAATATTTTTAAAACACGGGGTGGCGAATGAGATTACTATAGATTTTTCTGGATATTGAAATCAGAATGGGATTGACTTGCTAAATTAATGAGATATTTCTAGGGAAGAATGCATAATCTTATCAAGCCAAGAAAATATGTTGAAAGTTTAACTTAAAGGAAAAATAAAGGAAATAGGTTTGAAACCATGGACTTATTTGACCTCTTACGGATATTCCCCAAAATGTTGACACTCCCAGTGACCAGAACAACACTGACAACTCCCCAGTGACCAGAAGCATATTCAATTCACTCACTAAATCAGCTCAGTTCTGAGAGGAGCTGTTAAATAAGATTCCAGAGTTCCTGAGAGAAGAAGAGCGAGAAAGAGAGAGAGTTGGGGAGGGGTTGATTGGGGTAGGGAGGAGGAGAAAGAAGGAGGAAGGATGAGGGAGAAGGAGAGAGAGTTAGTATGGAACACTACCCCTTCGTAATCTTGAGACCTCAGATAATTTAACCTCCTGTGTCTCAGATATCTCATCTTCAGAGAATATAGCATTGACTTCTTGGGTTGCTCTAAGGACTAAATGAGTATCCCTTTAGTACAAGGTCTGACTCTTAATAAACATGCAAATATTAAGTATTACTGTGTTTGTTACCAAGATAATAAAATGATTTTTTTTATGCTACAATGTGATTTGTTGTATAGTGATAGATATCTGAAACTGGTGGCTGCCTGTAATTCTAATTTCTTAGGTTTGTTGAACCTTACCAATATAAAGTAAGGTGAACTCACTGATTCTCTTGTATTTCAGCACAAATTTTGGAGTTATGATAAAACAGTTGTCTTTTCTCCAAGGAACTGATGACCCACAGTCCGGAGGAGGGCGAAGAAAAGACTTACATTTTGAGAATAGGAGGACTAATTCTAGTAGTTGCCATGAGAAAGTCACACCCCCTATTCTGTTTTTCTGAGATGATCATTGATCATGTGTCCCTATGCTTCCCGCACATTCCATTCAAAATATTTTCAGATGTTAGTTTCATCGAAGGTTGTACTTGTCCTGGTTTTGACTAGGAGAGCTCTATCAGCTGGACTTCTGTGTTGCCAAATCTTATTTGGCAAACAGGAAAGTCCAGAGTACAATTCTTAGTGTACATGTAATTGATCAACAGCCAGTTAATAAATCTGATGGTAACTTTTGCTTTAATTAATAAAATGTACTCATATGAAACAAGTATTGTAAGTGTTTACATGTGTGTGTACCTGTATATATGAATATATATACATGTAAATTATATAGAGTTGTATAATATCAAAAGGTTTATTACAACATAAATATACAAAGAACACTATGTTACTAAAATTGATGACTGTAATTTTATTTACCCCTTGGGAATCAATTGAGCTATTGATTCCACAGCAAATGTGTTTTGATTAAGATCATGGCAAGATATGTTTGGCAGCAATTTCAAATTATTAGAGTTTATTACATATTTAAAGTGTATAGTCAGCTGAGATCCTATGTATCTGATTTTAGCTTAGAGAAATTTATTGATATTTTGTTCCAGGAACTATATCCTCAATGCTGTACCATGTGCTCCATTAAACCCATATCCTTTCCTGGATGGTCTGGAATACAGTGTGATACTCAGTGCTTAAGTCTATACTAAACAGGGTTAGAATCATGAATGTAGAGATTAATATGCTCTGTATATACTTATAGTATTGCTTTTAGGCTTATATACAAATTGAATCTGCACTAGTTGAATTTTATAGTTAAGGATTGGTTTCTTAGCTGTGAACATTGTTATTCATGGTGTTATGAATAACACCTGGATGGTGAGTGATCCTGGGAAACCATGGAAAAAGAAATATTTCCAGCGAAAACTTAATTTCTTAAACTCTAGAGATGTGTTTTATTTTTCTACTTTTATAGGAAATGATAATGTACAATCCTGTCTTTAACACATGTGGAATTATTCAAGAATAACAATAAAAAATCATGAAAATACAGTGATATTTAAATGTGCTAAATGGAACATGGGCCCAGTCAGGTTTTCATGATTTATCAGTTTTTAACTTCAAAGACTCTGGTTAGCTTGCATTTTTTAAACTAATGAGTTTATCACAGCCTGTGAGGAAAATGGTTAAAGTATATCAGCTGTAAATTGGTACAAAGCACTAAAAGGGACATTAGCCTCTAATCAGATTCCAACAGTTCATTAAACCTGTCTTTCCAGAATCGCTCTTTGTCTTTTCCCTGCCTTTGCAAGGCATCTTCCCTTTTCGTCTGGGCAAGACCTCCTCCGGGGTAGCAAGCAATATCAACTCATTCTTCATTGTCTACCAACCAAACAGCCTACGGGATGCTTTGTTAGGGTAGATTTCTGGCTGCTGTGAAGGGCAGGGGCATTGAGGGCTGGCCGGCTGCAGGAAGGCTTTCTTGAAACTGGGTGGTTGCAAGCCAAGCTGGCTGCTTCCAACCATGGAAGCAAGTGACACATTAGGAATGGAGATCCATGCCTGATGTGTAAACAACTCACCAGCCTCCATGAAAGGATTTAAAGCTTGGAACAAATTAACTGAGCTTGCCAGGGATACCACCGTTCTTTCTGCTCTAAGCCATTAGGATGCAAAATGCCTAAAAAATATGGATAAGTCAAAAGCACAAATTTAAAAAAATGCATCCTGTCAGTTTTAATAATATCGCATATTTCTAAGAAAAGAAGATGACAGTAGTTTTTCTTCTTTTTATTACCTAATAGACTAGGTAGTATGGGATTTTTAAATGCTCATTAGTTAGCTCTAGAGTAAATTTGCCTTTTCTTCTTGTTGATGTCTCAGAGCAAATATTTGTGATAAGAGGCCCTATAAATTTTATTTCTTATTTTTCTTAAAAAAGAGTGGCAAGAAATAGAGATAATTAGAGCTTTACTATACTGCACTCTGTTGGTATTATTTGGTAATAAAAACGTTTATGATTTGTCGAGGTGGGAGTTGTTTTTATTTAACCATTCAAAAGAAAAAGCAACTATGTGAGAGGCAAACCCTGAAGATTTAGAAATGCTATTAACCTTTGTCATCAGAGGTGGGCAAGATATTTAGAAACAGGTCACTCTTTCTTTTAATGACACCACTTTAGAGTCATGTGCATTCTATGATGGAGCAAAGGAAACATTATAAAAACTCAAATTTAGTCACTTCAATTTCTTATTATGGTCAGTAGATGAATGTAAAGTTGACATTAAACATATTTTAAAACATGATTTTGGTCTGAAGCAAACAATGTTGAATGTCTTTAGGATTCCCTTCATAGGTTATTGACTTTAGAAAACCCCCAAAGCAGTGAAAATTAGTAGAAAAAGAACCTTGATTTAGCCTGTTTGTAAATATGGTTTGAAATTCTACTGAGTCACAGTAGAAACAAGGTTCTCCTTTCAAGAAGTGGTGAATTCACCCAAACATATACCAAAACAGAAAACAAATTGTTATTTATTTTTGGGTTGAGACCTGAGCTTAAAAATTCACTTTCAATCCAAAATTTATATTAGTTGCTTTTGAAGTAGATGCTTGGGGTTGATCTATAGAAATTTTCATCTGATATAAATTGCTGTACCAAAATTCAGTGTCTAGAATTATATTTTCTTGTTTTTCAAATTATTTAGCCTTTGACGCTAATATGAGCATATAGTCATTTTTTAAATCTGTTTCCTCCTTTGTGGATTTCTGCACACATACAACCCCCAGAGCTAAGACGAAGGAAACATCCGTCTGCTTCCTTCCACTATTGCAAAAGTGTGATGAATTGTTCCAGCCCCATGTAAATTAATGTTAAGGTTTCTTTATTGCAGTTTATTATAGTCTGACCTCCAACCCAGAGGTCAGAGAATCAGACTGATTAATTCAACTTCTTGGTCATTATTTCAAATGATAGTTCAGAAGAGGGGCATAATTGGTTATGCTGATATTCTCATTTAATTATACTTCATTGTTAAAAATTAGGTTAGCAGTACTAAATGTACGACTTACTATGAAGGAAGACTCTACCAGATGTCCTCATGTGAATGCTTTACAGCTGACTTTCCCTCTCTCTTTTTGTTCTCAGAATATCAACACGTTTGAGAACAGAATGTTAATGCTTGATGGGATGCCGTCGGTCAGAGTCAAAACAGAGCTTTTGGAATCTGAACAAGGGGTGAGTTTCCAGTGGTGCCCCACCCTTTTCTCTTTATGATAGTGGCAGTCGTTCCAGAGCATCTTGACGTTTGCAGAACGCTTCTGATTTTCACTGGCCTGTGCTTTTCTCTCCAGTCAGGGGTCAAGATCATCTGAGACTGATTGGTTCTCATCCATTTGCAGCCTCCAATATTACTACCTTGGAAAAGAGAACTTCCTGAAACTAGGAAGACACAGTGACCTTATAAGAGCCATATGTTTTTATTGAAGTTAGTGAATGTTTTGAAAAGCTAATATAAATCCAAAGAAAAGAGAAATTATTAAAAAAAAAAAAGATAGGAATATAACATCCATGCCCAAACGGCTTATTTCTTTCTTAGGAAATTACAGAGTACAGGTACGGGAATGTTAATGTTTGTTGGATTGATTCTCTTTTGACATTTGCATCTACCCTTTTTTATGTCATGAGGACTAGAGGACAGATGATGCAATTTAGGTCAGTGAGTTTGAAATAGACCTAAAGCGAAAGGGGACTTAAATTTATAAATACATAGCAAAATGGACAAATTAACATATGGCTAGTGAAAATATGAAGCTAGATTTCTTTTTTAAAAGGACATAGGTGATTTTATAATTATTAACATTTTTAGCTTCAGTAGTTAAAATTATAATAAGGGCAATATGACTGCTTGCAGCATTGGCTCATCATGTTTTATATTTAAGTGAGAAAGCATTGCTTGTGTGCCTAAGAGCACACTGCCTACCTCTGTTACTCATCACCACTGAGGCAGTACAGAGGACTAAGGAAGGGATAAATTAAGTAAATATTTAATCTTAATCTTATTAATGTATCTCTTACCAAAAGAAGCAAAACATAGGCAATGTTTAGTAATTGACTAATTGGAAGAAATTTTAAAAGTAAATCAAATTTAACTTGTAAAAATCTATGTGCATGAGTTCACGTGGGACCCCATACAAGGGGTTAGGATGCTGATGTATTAAAAGGACTTCATAATGAGGAACTTAGGGCATGAATTCGGATGTAGCATGTAGAGGGTTTCTTCAATAACTTCCCCCTTCCTGAGTAATATATATGTCAGGGTGTGATATGTAGCAGTGTATATGTCTCTTCTTCACTGTAAGCCTGTGTCTGAAAGTTTATATTCAGTGTTGATTATTGTAACTCTGCAGTGAACTTTGTGGGGTATGACAACCAATAATACACCCTCCCTGTTCTATGCATGACATAATGACTGACTCACATTAGGTTCAACCTAAAACTTAGGCAGTGGAGCATTGTGGTGGAAAAGACCATGTGGCAGGGACTAATATTATTTGTTCGTTGTAGACAAAGCTTCAGGAAAAGTCTTTTGTTCCCCTGGATTTTCTAGTATGACTCAAGTTAAATTCTGTCTTCCAAATCATACAGTTTTTACCTTTGCTGTTGAACCTAACACAGGAAGGATTAGTTTTATTTCTTTGGAATTTCTGTTTTCTTAATCTAAGTGTGTAAGTATCAGTTTCATAAAATAAATTTCTACACACCCCGTGTTTAAGTTGAACACACTGCACAGACCATAGCATCTCATCACATAGCATCACCATCACACGCTGATGGAAAAATGAAAAAGTGGATATTCCACGTTGTTGCTTTTATTTTACGAAATGTTCTTCAACTTGAATAGCAGTAAATCCACTCAAGTCAAGCATTTTGGAGGAAGTACAGAAGCCAGAGACTACTATTTGGGTCACTAGTCAGAACCAGGATGGTGCACTGTTGTCACCAGCTCTGGGAACTTTGATGATATCATGATACTTCTTTCTCCTTTACTGTAATACGCAGTTTGAAAGTAAGGTTTGCATGAAGTATTTAGATGCACGCACACGCACATACAAAAAGCCAATATTCCCAGGGGGTTTGCATTGTAACTAGGAACCTCATGCCACATGATCTATAGAAAATATTTACTGCCCTCAAATAGGGATAGGAAAAATGGTAGGTTCATAGGTTTTACTTAATGCTTATTTATTAAAATCAATTTTCCTCCTTGTGAATGGAGCTGTTGTTAGTATTTTAACCCTAATTTAGATTGTGTATGTTGAAGAGAAGTAGAAACTTGATTTTATTCTTTTCCTTGGCTTTGTATGTACTTCTTAAATACATGGCAGATATAATTTTGTTCTCTTTTATAGTGAAGCTTCAAGAGAAGCAGCCCTGTGTTTAATGAAATGTATTATGACCTAATTATTTATGGAGTACAATAATTTGTATTTAATCATTTATAATACTTCAAATCAATTCTTTAAAATTAGGGATAAATCTAGACTTTTAGTGAACTTCATTTTTGGTTGTTTTACTGGAGTTTTTAATTGGGGATAATAGGATGGGTGATATGCGGTATCATTTCAGAACCAGAACTATTTTAGATAAGGAATACTTGAATTCTAAAGATTCCTTTATTTCCGTCTTATAGGACTCTTTCCTCATTTCCTGGTAAAAGCTGGATGAGGATTTTTTTTTTTAATACAGTGTAAACATTGGTGAAATTAAAAGAATCGCGTGTGATCATGGGCTTCTGAAAAAGATATTAGTAACAGTGAACACAAAGTTAAGAAATGAATCTGAAGAAAAAAAAAAGAAAAGAAAGAAATGAATCTGCATCACAACAATGAATGGGAAAGCCTGAGCTTGATGTCAAGGATTGGATTCTGTAATCACTTTGGAAAACCTGATTTCAAGACTGTTTTTAAGACATAAACATTAAATGTCCAGTCTCTAGGGGAAGAAAAATTTAGTGTGCCTTTCAGGCCCCAGGCAGTATTGTAAAGATACACTACTTTCCATGGACCTCAGGTTTTCAGTGCACCATGAAGGCATATGTTCCTTCTCCCCTTCTGGCTATAAATAGTCCCTTAGGTCTTCTGCCGCCAGCTGGTCTATACATATCCCCCCACCCTTCTAAGGAATTCAGGACCAGATGACCACATTTCAGAGCTGGAAGATAGACTGTGGGATGGGTCTAGGTTAGCCACTCTGCTTTCTCTCTTCTCTGAAAAGTTCTGGCTGCCTTGCCTCATTCTCTTCATGGTTTTATGGCGTGTGAATGTGATCATATCTCATCAATCAGATTCTCAGCTCTTAGAGGACAAGAAGTATTTCTTGTATTTTTCTTGTAGGTCCTGGCACATGGTCAGTGGTCATTCACTGGTCTGGGCATTATAACTGGCATGGTAAAAAAAACAAACTTGAAGCCAGTCAATAGCTCATTATAAACCTGCTCTGTCTACTTCATAGGGTTGTTGTGAACAAAAAAATAAAAATTGGAAATACTGGAAACATACATTCTCATTGATGGCATAGTCTTCACCTTGTTGGCGTGTGAACTGGGTAGATATAGTGGCATGTCGACACCAGCTCTGTGGCTTGCCTTCTGTTTGGAATTCTGTGGCTTCTGCATCCTTAGTTTTAGGATATCTAAGTAGATCATCATTGTAGTCTCTTGAAACGTGACTTCAGTTTTCTTCAGGCTTGTCGGTAATACAGCACATGCTGCTAAGCAGTCCATGGGAAGGGCATGTGCTCTTGTGATACACTTCAGGGGCTCAGCAAGGAGTATTGAAGTGACTTTGACTGTGACCTTTGGTGCTTGTGTCCTGCTGTTACAAGAGCTTCCCAAATGCCATCAGCCGTTGGATGTTCTAACATGTTATTAAGCAAAGAACTAAAGCAGGAAGAAGAGGACTGGAACGATTCCACTCAGAGATAAGGTGGTAACAGAGAAAGGGTACTGCCTCAAAAACATAAAATGTGATTTTGTTCCTGGCCTTGCAGTTTACTGGCTTGAATGGCACTGGGAAGTTACTTCATAACTCTAGGCCTCTATGTCCTCATCTGTATAGTGGGGGTGTTAGAGGCTGGCCCAAGTTCCATCTGACATTCTTTGATTATGATAATGGGCCAAGAGCGAGAAAAAGCATTTCCCATGATGAGTTTAACAATCATATGACAGGGAGGTTACCTGTGTATGTAGGTAGAAATGCTGTCACTTTAAAAAGTGACAGACCCAAGTTCAGATACTCTCTCTGCCAGGGGCCACCTGTGTGTGTCCTGTTGGTCTCTATCCACCTATTTCTTCACTTCTAGGAAGTGAAGTGAAGTCCAGCATCCTAAGAGCCTGCCTGCATATGGTGACTGCTGAATAAATATTCTTCCTTTGAAAAAAGCAGGAATAAAAAGAGCCCAATTGCTTCAGTTTCTATAGCTGCAGTTCTCATATTGTAGTTAGCAGAGATTAAACATCTGGGTTAATTTATCATTTCAGGTAAATCTCAAATTCTAACCCTTATTTTTTCATTTGAATTTTTATTTAAGCATATCTGGAGAAATATTTCAAATTCTTATTAGATTTTATCACAAAAAAATGGAATAATGAAGCCAGAAATCAATGATTATGTTAACACAAAAATGCCATCCTATTTTGATATGATAGTGGTATTTGGCCACAGTTTTTTAAAAAAAGGAGTTCTGAGTTTGTATACTTCAGAAATGCTTATTGATATATTTGCAGGTGAAGTGATTACGTGTCTGGGATTTGCTGCAAAGTGAGATGGGAGGACAGAATGGATGGGGAGAAAGATAAGACTAACCAGGAGTCCGTCATTATTAAAGCCACATGTAGCCAGTACCCAAGGCTCTATAACCATTGTGTCTCATTTTGTATGTGTTTGAAATTCTTGAAAGTAAAATGTTTAAACAGGAAAAGAAGCTCTCTCAGTAAAAATAGAAGAATACATCAGTGCATGGGCGCCAGTGGGAGTCCTGAAGGAAACATGCATCACTCAGCCACTCTCACTGTTCTCTTAGTCTATGGAGAAAGGAGCTGACCTGAGTCCCTCCACCTGCCACAGCAGTGGTCCAGACTCTTCCCCTGGAGGGGCAGGTGCAATTCTGACCTGTGAGCCTATGGTGGAGTGGTAGCAAAAGCAGCGTAGAGAGAGAAGGAGAAAGACGTTAGGTGT